GCCTGCGTTTGTATTGATCATTCAAATATTACTATATTTCTTACATAATCTTTTACAATTTATTTATTTATAAGTAGCCTTACACATCCATATTATAAAAGAAAACACGTAGACAAAGCTATCACAGATTTACATTGATAAACAAAATATATGAAACAGAAAACATGAATAGATAAAACGAAGCGAAAAGAAATTTGTTAAGTAACATTTACTACTGCAAATATAATGTATTCAGAAATAAAAGTGGCTTAAATAGAAAACATATCGGGAAACAATACACATACAAATAATATTTCAAAATGAGCTTACTGTTTGTTTTTAGCATGCAATACTCGGTCAAAAAACTAAAAAAAAAAAACTACATGGCACGCAATTAATTCACTTAATAAAAACTAAAAGTGCGCAATCAAAGCACTTTGCGTTTCCCGAATCACTCAAATTTTCGTAAGGGTTTCCAGTGGTTAATAACGAGTGGTATCGAGTGAATAATTCTTCAATCAACCACTCGATGGAGTGTCATCGAATGAATAATTGTTCGCGAGTGCTGTGATTTACCATGTGGTGTTTCAGAACAGGTGCAAAGTGCAAAAAGAAAACTACGTCAATTATGTATAGAAAACCCCGTAACAAAAGGCATGACGCAGTTTCACGCCCATTTCACTGATAATACACTGCGAAGGGATCCCAATCATGTTCCCAAGCAGGCGCTTCATTGGAACCCGCAAGGAAAGCGGAAGCGTGGCCGTCCCAGGCAAACCTGACAGTTACAGACGAGGCAAGAGAGCCGGAAAGACTTTGAGCGAGGTGAAATACGAGGCTCAAGAACGAACGCGATGAAGGCTCACTCTGGACGCCCTCTGCCCCAACTAGGGGCTATAGGACATTAAGTCAAGTTAGTCACTGATAATACTTTCTTAGTAAAGCATGATTGTCAAGACAAGTAAAGTTTCGCCGGCCATCACGACCCCAAGACGTCCACGCTATACCTTTAAAAAACCAGAACAAAACAACGGGTTTCTAGTATATAAGGTAAATAGTTTTGGTCTTGTGAATAAAATTATCACAAATTAAATAAAATATCTTTAAAATTTAATTTAAGTAATAGTTGATTATATAAACGTACGTACAAATGAGTGATATCATTATCGCGTAGTGGGTCGATTCAATCCGATTAGATTGATCATCGCTTGTAATCTACCGAGCGACATTGGGTACACAGAGTAAAAATGGTATTCATTAAAAATATGTTTTTTTCTCTTATAGTAATGATTTAACTCAACACACTTCATTTAAATATAAACTAAATCGAGAAATTTGTTTAATATTTTAATTTAGTAGTGTTTGAATTATATAAAAAAACAAGATAATTGATTCTCTGCGGAGATTGTTGTGTGTTTATATGTAATGTATTTCACTAATCACACATAAAAGCCTGATCAGCTTATAGCCCAAAGAAACAATAAAAACCCAGTGGCGTTATAACCTTTTTGGTATGGGCCTCACTTTCTGTATTTTATAAGTACCCTACCACATATCCATATTATAAAAGAAAACACGTAGACAAAGCTAAAACAGACACAACAAACATTGATAAACAAAATATATGAAACAGAAAACATGAATAGATAAAAAAGAAGAAAAAAAAAGAAGCAGAAATAAATTTGCTAAGTAACTTTAAAAAAAATCAGTGGCGCTACAACCTTTTGGTCTCATTTTCTGTATCCGTATATTCATGTATAATATTCATAATAATTTGTCAATCTAATAGGCAAGTAGGTGATCAACCTGCGCCTGACATACGCCGTCTACTTTTTGGGTCTAAGGCCAGCCGGTTTCCTCACGATGTATCCTTCACCGTTCGAGCGATTAATAAATAAAAACATAGAAAGTCTATGCGTGCACAGACGGGGATCGAACCTACAACCTCAGCGATGAGAGTCACACGCAGAAGCCACTAGGCCAACACTGCTCTTCAAAGAAAATAAAACAATGAAACTTACGTAAAAATGTAATGTGACTCAGTTTACTATTTCACATTTTTAGAAATAAAAAAGAGAAAAATACTCCGTGTATAGCTGATACGACTACTCTATGCCTGCAACATTATACAGCTTCCATCTGTGCACAATACTCACACATGCCCCACTTTACGTCACATTTGATCACAAAGGTGCAATCAACAATGCGCTGCGACAGATTTCACAAGTTCAAGTCAATTGTGATTTTATGTTTTTAACAGGTTTTACTCCACATTAGCCTAAATGAAATCGTATGGCTTTAAAAACGAATTTATAAACAAAATTAGCATATAATTCATTCAGAATTATATACTATTTACAATATTCTTCACCTATATAAAAATAAAAATAAATCAGTGGCGCTACAACCTTTTTAGGTCGCGGCCTCAGATTTCTGTTACTGTTTCATCTTTTGTTAATCTAATAAGCAAGTAGGTGATCAGCCTCATGTGCCTGACACGCCGTTGACGTCTTCGGTCTAAGGCAAGCCGGTTTCCTCGCGATGCTTCACCGTTCGAGCGAATTTTAAATGCGCACATAGAAAGAAAGTCCATTGGTGCACAGCCGGGGATCGAACCTACGACCTCAGGGATGAGAGTCGCATGAGAGTGTTGAAAAAGTTTATCTAAACTCACTGAGTATAATCTCAGTCCACCCAAAGTCGAAATATTTTAGACCTACAAGTCATACTTAATACAAAGTCTTGTTCAAAAATCCTTTACAAAACTGTTTTAAGTACAATTATTGGGATAGTACAATATTTCTTATACTCATTAAGTATAGTCTAAACACGACAATCTTCGAACAATGCGTATTATTCGCCGCGTCACATTTCATTCGAGCCAAGGGAGTGAACTTTTTCATTGTCAGGGATTTTTTTTAATTAAAACCGATGGTCGATTTCAATATTTATATTTATTGACATCACCATTGTTCTGGGTACGAATTGGGGACATTATTTTAAGTGATTGGTATTTTGATTGCGATCCACGGTGCACTGATTGTGAATAGATTTTTGCGAAGGGGAAGGACGTTTTTCCTATTTCGAAGCAGCGTAATTTACAAAAGTGGTTGCCACTTTTGTATGATACCGGTTAAGTCTTGTAACCCCATTACGGCTAGGGTACACATTTGTATTTATTAATAGCTAAAGATGCTTAGGGTATCAGGGTATTACTATAGGGCAGAGTTGTCCTAGTGGCTTCAGCGTGCGACTCTCATCCCTGAGGTCGTAGGTTCCTTCCACGGCTCAGCACCAACGGACTTTCATTCTATGTGCGCATTTAATATTCAGAACGTGAGGAAATCGGTTTGCCTTAGACCCAAGTCGACAGCGTGTGTCAGGCTGATTACCCACATGCCTATTAGATTGGCAAATGATCATGAAACAGATACAGATATCTGAAACCCAGATCTAAAAAGGGAATAGCGCCACTGATTATTATTATTATTAAAGATACTTAGGCTGTATCCAAAATGAGTTAATTACACTCTTCCTTAGATATATATTAATAAAAGATACCGAAATATCTATGACTCGTAGAATTCCTTGGTATTTTAGGTATAGAGCTAGGGCGTCGTAGCGAATAAAACATTTCAAAGAACCCTCGAACCCCACCATACAACTAAAAGTGCATTAGAGAAATTGGATTATGAGTAACGCGCGTGTACAAGGCATTTCCTACTTTATCCCTTGGTAATACGAAATGAATTGCCTTCAGGATAAAATATTTTATATACGGTAGCATTTTATATGCATATTATATAGTATCTTAAAGTAAGCTAATAATATTCTACTTCCAAACGTTATCAGTTTGTGTAAACAATATGTGAGTAAACGCATGCTAAATTTGTGCTGTTCAGGTCTCTGACAAAATGACCAGCGCTGTGGTACACTTCTTTTCCACAGCATAATGCTGAGCCAGGGCCAGTTACAACCACAACACACACGCATTACACACTTAAAACGTACCTTATTCCTTAGTTCTTTCCATATTTTTTTGTTATGTTTCTTTTTTTATTATTATTATAATTTTGTGTGTTTCGTTAGTAATAAATGTTATGTCTATGTCTAAATTTCGTAAGTATGTTTATCCAATATTATTGGTCTATATGTTTTAAATCATATTCCAGTTTAGGAATCCCCACTCTATCCACTTATTTCGGAAGGTAATAGCTTTTTCAGACATTTAAAAACTATGTAATTTTTCTTCCGATACAAAGGGACATTATATGCCCCTAAGCCGGGATGAGGACATATATAAGCTATGAGATTTATGGAACAAAGAGAGGAAAGTCTTAAAAAGGCCGAATCGTGGAGAAGCATCTAATTGTTTACTCACAAATCCCAATATACATCTGCACATTTCCCGGGTATATATAATTAAAAGCTATATTTTGGACAACCTGGAGAGTGCTGGGCACTATAATTAAAGATGTTATATGTATGAAAACATTTCTCTTCTCATCTTAATATATATAAATTACGCGTCACGTTGTTTGTCCGCTATGGACTCCCTAATCTACTTAACCGATTTCAATCAAATTTGCACACCGTGTGCAGTTTGATCTAACTTAAAAGATTATTATATATATCTTACATCTTAATTTATACCCGCAATATTGTTTTATTGCAAATTATTTGTTTATTATTTAACAGTCACAATTCTAACAGATGGCGCTGTGTTGAAAGTACCAACGTTTAACATAAACTACAATTTAATGGCATAACCACCAAAGAAGCATGGTGGTCCCCATGACTGGTGTTCTCCTACAGTTTCCCTTGAATACAAACTATGTAATATAACAAAAACCTTAGCCTCAGCAGCAACGCGGGGCCCGGTCTGCTAGATGTTTAAGATTTAGTTCGTTCTTGTATTGATTGTATTCATTACTCAACTTTTCAGTTTCTATATAATGTAAGTGAATGTGTACTGAGGTGTACCCCTTGAGGGACCAAAGATAAATAATATATCAGCCAACTCACGTGATATACTGGTGCGTCCGACTCCTGAAGAGGCAAAGACTTTCAGCATCGTTGTTTTTCGGGGACTCCTCGTAAATCCTGGACATGCAGAGCACGGAATCAAAGGCGACAGACAGGCTATCAGCTAACAGCCGAGTTAGTTCCGATCGCTTCGACTGTGACATGCCTTCTCTGTCCTGAAATTAATATTTATTTATTTCCAAATAATTAATCTATTTACAGTTAACTATATATACACAATCTAATATAAAAAACAAAGTTTAACACTTATAACTCGAGAATGGCAAGCCGATTTTCATAGCTTTTCCAACCTTGGGGTCGTATTTTCGATCCCGGGCTATGGACATTGTGCGCATTTAACACTCGCTCGTAGGTGAATCATCTGGTCCCTCAGGAAGTTTCATTCCAGGCATGCCTTAAACCCAAATAGTCGGGGGTGTGTCAGGCACAGAAGGTTGATCACCTACTAGCCAGCCCTAAAAGGTTGTAGCGCCATTGGTATATATGTATAGAAACAAAATAATCACATCACCTTCGCCAATATACTGACAATATACACCATATACTGACAATATACCCACCCAATTTTACCCTCAAGTAGTATAGTAGTAGTCATAGTTTATTACGCTTTAACAGTCATTTTGAACCGACTACTATATATTTAATAACAAATACATACGACCGATAATCTGGTAGAATTTTTAAACTTGCTTAAAATCGAGTTTTCTTAGTATTGTACATAATATACGAGATTGAGGTTAAAATGTATATTTAGGCGTCGCGAGGAAAAATGCAAGGGACGTGAGCCATTAGACGCTTTACTTAGACGGGTCGAGGGAGGCGCTGCGTCAGAGGATCGTTTGAAGCTCAAACTCCACTGGTTCAAGTTCAAAAATATATACTGCCATGGTCAAATAATATATACTTCTATAAAGAGGAAATATTTGTATTTAAAAATATATTATAGATAATGTAGTGATCCTATATAATAATAAATGTCTAAACGAGAACTTTTTTCGACAAGACATAAAAACCAGTTGAGTGACTGTAAAGTGTCCATTTATTTTTGACTCAATACGAGACATTAGTTTAATTTAGGTCAAATAATAAGGAGTCAATGAAAAAATAACACTTTTTTAAAGTTATTTATTTAGAAAAAGTTAGTTGGCTTTTTATATATTTATCAGAAGAACAAATTTGTTTTAATATAGCTGGAGACGATTTCAAGTAAGAATGAAACTCTTGGCATGTTTTTTTTTATATTCTGCTGCTCAAATTTTCGCGCGGTTTCTGAAAACAATTTTGAGTCCCACGGTTCATTTTTGCGACACCGGGACTCGTAATTGGAAAAAAAGAAAGTCCCGTTCAAAACGGGACGTCTGGTCACGTTAAGCATGACGTAAAGACCCGAGCTGTAAGTTGTAACGCAACCTAACATTAGGGAACATAAAAAGCAAATTAAAGAACTACATATTTGATATGCATTTTTCACGCTCCTAACAATACTGCTAAAGTTACAATAATTCAAACCATTGGTTTTTAAATGTAATATACCTACCATGATATTGATTATATTAATAAAAAAAAATCCCTGATGACCCTGCTTTACTTGATTCCAGGTATTAAAAAAGGGCCTTTCTGGAAGCTGCCGCTAAATATATAAACGCTAAGGCACATAAAATACATTTTGCTTCGGAAATATGATTAATACACCTTTATATATTATTGATTGTAATTGTGCTTTCATAATAAAGAAAACACTTATTTACAATCGTATACATGATACTCTGCTTACGGCGTTTGAAAACAATCATAGACATATTGATTTAGTTCTCTATTGAGAGTTACAGAATACCAATAAAGGGCGCGCTCCGGGCCATGTCTGTATAAAAGTTAAGAACTGAGACAAGTTATTTTATTATAAACAATTGCAAAACTATTCCAAAGCTTTATATATAGTTTTTTGTATGTAGTTTTATGTGTAAATACTCCAACAACAATCTAACTTGCCATTAAATAATAAATATATTTTGTAAGTAACAAATATTTTCATGATAAATACAATGTTAGCAGCAATGACTTTCGGAAAATGAATAAGAAAGTAAATTGCAGTAAGGTTCTTGTTCAGAGAGAACTTAACGAATACAACCCGTATAACAGGAAAAAAACTCTCGTTTCATACTGACCGATTTATTAAAAATCACTACCGAGCGCTAATATAAAAAGCACATAAAGAGCTCGAATTATTTTCGTTAAAAATAAAAATTCGGCACGTACCAGATTTTATCTGTATGTTTCGTCCATGCTCATAAAGTAATAGATTTACTGATATCGAGAGAAACCTAGATGGCGTTGGCGATAACATCATATACATAAAGAACATGGCGACTTGATACATTTTGATAAACCTCTTTAATTGACCACAATTAAATAAGTAACGTCATGCGGTGAAGCACAAACGGGGTATTATTTTGTGATCTAAATTAAAAAAAAACATATTTAATACTAAAATAGATAAACGAAATTTGTTCAATTAAACTTAATACCGATTCATCACTTTAGACATTTATTTGTCGAAATATAAACCAAAATATCTCAGGTAGCAAATTCACACATGCCAAATGGAATATATAGCTTTTATTAATGTGTCAAGGTACCAAATTTATATCGAAAATCAATAAAATATACATTTTATTACTCTATTCACATACATATTTGTGTTCAAGATAAGATTAAAGATACACTTTTTATTGGCGATGTAACCTGCGAAGTATTTGTGATGACAAGGTCACGGCATCGTTATATTGTAACTCAATACAAAAACCTGTCAGAAAATCCAGAATAATACTGTTCAAGAAGTCTTCCAAAAAGGTCTTACTTTTTTATGTTGTTAGTATAATTAACAAATTATTTCCTAAATTAAAATTGTATGCTGACCCAACGCTTTTTTCAAAAAAAGTATATGTTGTTAAATTTTCCTTTATTTTTGTAATATTGATAAGTTTCCTATTTAAGATCCTGTCTGAACCGAATGGTAAACTGGTGTTCTTTTTAATGAACATAACATTCTTTGTTAAAACTGCGTAAGTACAAATTAACTATAATTTTTTATATAATACATAAAGCCCCGTAGTTTTAAAATGAATTTTAGAGTAAAGACAAAGTTAATTATTAGCAATATTCATGTGACATACCGTTTTAAACTTTATTTTACGATCGAAATCCATTTTACGATTTTGGCAAAATAATTTAAAGTTTTATATATTGGACTCATTACGGTTTAAGGACACGAATACTCTTAATTAAAATTTCGTAATTACGATCATTACCCGATTTATTTTCGGTCAAAACGTTTAGACGCATTTCGTTTTATAACAGTAAATATGTATTAAAAAGAATATAAAAGAAACTGGCCTAAATTTTATTAATGCCTTCCTAATAAAATAAATCCATGAATAAATTCCTTGTTGTGTGAATGATTATTTTACATAAAATAGCATAATAATATCTGCAATAACATTTGTAATAAGCATGTGTTGAGGCTATAAGAACTCTAATGTTGCCGATGCCGGTGTTGAGTTATATAGATATATAGTTAAGGCTTGGGAGGAGTCGCATGACGCTTTAGGTGTTTTCTGCGACTTATCCAAAGCATTTGATTGTGTCCAACACGAGACCTTAATCGGGAAACTCCGCCACTATGGCATCAAGAATACCGCACTGAATCTTCTGACTTCCTATTTACACGGAAGAACTCAGAAGGTTGAAGTGAATGGTAAGAGGTCCTCTGGGTCGGCAGTAGATATGGGGGTACCACAGGGCTCAATTCTTGGCCCTTTCCTCTTTCTTGTTTATATAAATGATCTACCTTTCATGGTAGAGAGAAAACATCAGATGGTTTTGTATAGTTTTGTTTGCTGATGACACGTCCTTGATTTTTAAAATCAAACGACAAATAACAAATTTTGACGATGTGAACAATGCTCTGTCTTCGATTGTCCATTGGTTTAGTATGAATAACCTTCTACTTAATGCAAAAAAGACAAAATGCATTAAATTTTGTGCAAAAAATGCAAGGGTTATGGATACTAGACCAATTATAATCGGTGAGGAATTGAATCTGGATGATACAACTGTATTTCTCGGAATCACCATGGATTCAAAACTTCAGTGGTCCCCTCATATTAACGGATTGGCGAAGAGACTTAGTTCTGCAGCCTACGCGGTTAAAAAAATTCGCTCACTAACTGATGTCGATACAGCTAGACTTGTTTATTTTAGTTACTTTCATAGCTTAATGACTTATGGCTTATTATTATGGGGTCATGCTGCTGATGTCGAAACTATTTTCATCCTGCAGAAGAGGGCTATTCGTGCAATCTATAATTTAAAATGTAGGGAATCTCTTAGAGATAAATTCAAGGAAATTAATATACTTACCTTTCCCTCGCAATATATTTATGAAAATATTATGTATGTATACAAAAATAGTGATAAGTTTACTAGAATAGAACATACGCACAATGTTAATACACGGAACAAACGCAGGCTGCAATTTCCCCGTACTAGACTATCTAAAGTTAGTAATTCTTTTTTGGGGAAAGGGATAGTCTTCTTTAATAAAATCCCAGAGGCTCTTTTATCACTGCCTTTCAATAAATTTAAGAAATGTATTAAAGAAAAGCTGTGTAAAAAGGCTTACTATAAAGTCAACGATTATCTAGTTGATAAAAGGGCCTGGGACTAGTGCTAGACAGGCTACTTCTAATTAATTTGCGATATTTGTTTTAAATAAGTGTTGTTTGATGATTTGCTGTTTTAAAAGAGTACCGAGAGTTTTTTACGCCGGCTTTTTCTCTCGGCCTACACCCTCTGTCTTCTTTGCCGATGAGTAGGGATGCCTTCAAATTGAATGACGTGGAATAAGTGATACATGTATCTTATGTTCCATAATAAACATATTTTATTTTATTTTATTTAATATAAAAAAGTGTTACTCAAACAAAGGGACCGATATATTTAAATAAATAGTAACGGCCTAGCTATAAACATAGACTAATGTAAGTTTGTAGTATACCATGTTAACAATTAGCCAATAACTCGGGTTCCTTGTACCTAGGTCGCACATATCAATGTCGACGGCGTAGGCCAAGGTTTTTCGCGATACCAAGGGCCAAAAGCAGTCTGTTGCTCAGATCCCCGTTAACAAAAACGTTGCGTTTACTGAATGCTGTCTCCGACACTAGCGACATCTTTAAATGTTCGCAGAGTGAGTTTACAGTAGTATTATTATTATTACATGATATTGTGTATGTCATGTATTTAATATTATATATTTTATAATTCATATTTTATTTTATTTACTGAATAAATAAACAAACAAACGTGATACAAAACTTTACTTTGCATTTTTTTAAATATAAAAATTCAAAATCTAAATTTTTTTCCAACAGCTGAAATAACTCCAACTAGCGCCAGTAGTACGAGAGTGTAAACAGGCCTAAGGATGCATTAGTGGCGCTTTCAATGCGGCCACTCGCGCCACTGGGAAACGTAGGGCTGTCAGCGGTTATTATTTTTATGGATACTTAAGTATTGAGTAAAATTTTATTCCTCACTTATACGGACCCTGGGTGGCCTTAAGAAAATAAAGCCCTTTATCCGTGTAATATTAATGTTGAATACATTATATGTAATGACATTTCTCAATTAAAATCAGCTAAATTATTGCATAATTGATCGTAGGCTAAAAATGTAAAAGAAATTTGATAACGACGAAGGTTGGAGAAGAGCTCCTGAGACAACGAGTGGAGGCCAATGTCGGAAGACAACCTGACCTGCTAAGTAACCAATGTGCTATAAAAAAGATATTAAAATGTATGTTTTCGTTCATTAAACTTGTATCAAAGCTTTTTCCCAATGTTTTACTGACTTGTAAAAATCCATGCATAGTTAATAGTAAAGGTGAGTTTGCTTTTTTGAAATTTTTAGTTTAAAAGCTCGCAGGCTCAACCCTACTGAACGTCGGTACACAAAGCATCAGTTACTGACAATAGAGCGGCAGCAAACTACGAAACATGTACAACAGTTAAACCAGCGTGTTCTAGGTACAGCTTACCATAGCTACAAATAACGTATAGTACTTTTAGCAAATTAGGCGGTTCGCCAAATGTCTCACAAGTCACAATGTTACCTTACATACCTTTGTCTATATGTTTAGTTTGGTTGTTTTTTGTTTTAGGTATATAATATATGTTAGCTGTAGCATTACGAAATAAACGAATATAAATCGTGTCTGTATGAACGCGAGAAACTTAAAAACTACGGAACCGATTTTTGTAGGATTTTAACTCATTCATTATGGATTTATGTAACAAATATGTATGATATAACAAATAATTGAAGAAGTTTGTCCTTATAATAATTATAATTACTTTAAAAAATACTAAACGTTTATACACTTTTAAATCTTTTAATATATCGCCTTGAATTATAACAATTTAGCAAATAATTTCTCCAAATACAACAATATAAGTGCCTGACTAAAGTACTCTAGAACACACAGATTGGTGTATTAAATGTTGCCAGTCGAAATTTGTGTTTGCAGAATAATTCAGGAGGATTCGGACTTGTTGACTTTCAGGGACTGTCAAAACATTTAAGTAGAACGAGAAAGGGGATCAACATACTATATATAATATAACTTATTGTCGCTTTCACTATTTTACACACCTTCTTCATACAATACAAGGCAAACACAACTATTTCAAATTCCTCGGTCTAATACAAATACCAGGCATGTATCGTATACCTTCAGATTATAACACAAATTACCAGTAAATGGATATATTTCGTATAACTAAAAAATGTGACATAATGATATAAATCTGTGGTATCTTTTATTAGACATAATGGCTTTGTTATTCCTCTTTTATATTAAATATATTATAATTATCAATGCATCTTACAATATTTTTTTTTTGTATAAGTAGGTAGGTAATCATTGTTCACTGTGTTTTTTGTTTATGTATTAAACATTATTGTGTATAATGTAATTGTTTAGATATTGTATTATAAGTAGCTGTAGGAATACTGATATGCAAATAAATAAACACACACAGAGAGATTATTAATCCTTAAGATGTAATTAACTTCATTTGTATACATACGAAATGCATAACGAATAAAATTCTACAAAAGTCATCCCTTCAAAACGTAAGCAAACCATAAATCGAATTTATAACAAAACTCGGCAAACGGTTGACGTCGCCTGATTGAGGAACATCAAAGCTAACCGTTCGGAAAACGCGAACCCTTTCTATCTAATATAAAAACTTCGCAAGGTATTTGTTTACGAAAAAAATGTTTATTGCAAAGATAAAAATCTATTACGCGAAATTATATTAACGGCACAAATATAAGAGTCTTTCCTCCATCTTTGATTTTGTTCCCTTTGGAGTAGAGACTCTTGAGCCGTGGGGTTCAAGTGCACAGGCGCTAAATAAAGATTTTAGTTGGCGCCTGGTAGATAGTACCGGAGCTGGTGCTTTCTTGGCTCAACGAATATGATTGGTGATGTCAACGGTGATGTTAATTATTTCGACTATGTGTTTGCGTGTTGTTCCCACGAGAATGTAAGTGCGTGCTCCTATTTCACCATGCCTCCTGCTGATAGAGGACAAGTCTTTGTTTTTAATTTATGTTATTATTATTAATTACTTAAGATGTCATGTGGAACATGGTGTAATGGTTGCAGCTCCTTACAAACGTGTAAAAAAAAAACATGGCGATTAAAAAGAGTGGCGGAGAGTTTATTGCCAGTTCTTCTCTTCCGTTCTACGCCCTTGATTTGAGAACTGGCAGTAAATGTAAAATTAGAAGCATTAATATGTATTTCTTTAATGACGAATCACAAGTGTACATTGTGTTACCTACGTGAATAGATGATTTTTGAATTTGAATTTGAAAATTTGAATAAGTATCTCAATACAGCGGGGTAATGCTGCCAGCGTTAAAGGTACCAAAACTGTTTAAATTTGTTTTGATTTTCTTTTTAACAATTTTGAATTATCTTCACTTTGTAGGTTAAGAAAATTGTCAATACTGTATACTTGATTGTAATCAATAAAATGAACAAAGCTTTACGCGAAATGAGCATCCGAAATTATTGATTAAAATTTGTAAATAAATCGAATTTCACTATACGGGCTCCAGTTTCCTCACGCCTACTGCTGATTAAACGTTTGTTTCATTTCCTTTTTTTATATATGAAATGGCAAACGAACCTACGGGATGCCCAAAAAGGGCAGTCTACGCACATCATCAACACCCATTTTAGTGGATGCGTTGGCGGCCTTTTAGAGAGGAGGATACTCTTTCTTTAAACAATTAGAGGTCGTATCTCCCAGGGAATCACTGGGAGTTCACTAGTTCACAAAAGAAAGATGTCTTGCCGTTTCTTAAAGCATTGAATCGTAAATAATTTCGAGTCCTTTAGAGCTGTAGTAGCTGCACCTCGTTACAAGCATAGTTCAAAAATACTTGGCGATTTAAAATAGTAATTTCATTGGCGACAACTTACTATAGTTCCAAGAATTTAATTTTATTCACGTTTTTAATTGTACAATAACTTACCTACATGAATAAATGATATTTGATTTGAACCATAGGTCAATTGTTATCACTGATTACCATGTATTTTGTATCTAATATGTATATCCAATTTAATAGGTTTGATCGAAAACTTAAATTGCTATAGTAAAAAATGTTATTGACATTTGTAAAACCTCCGACATAATTACCTGCAAATAGTATCATACACGGGTTGCTATAATGTTAAGTATGTATACTACATATTTAGTATTAAAAACCCCTATGTCCCTTAGTCATAAGTATCAGATATTCATCCGTAGGGTCATAGGTTCAAACCCCTGTTATGCACGAATAGGTTACAACAAACAGTTAAACACACAATATCAGCCCCATACATCGGAATTACATCAAACAATAGTTTACAAATAACTTACAACTTGTTCCAACAGTGTGATTAGATGTACAGTCATATTTGTGGCGGCGAGTTGCGAACCCATAATCGGACAAGAGCTCAGCGTACGAGATATTAAGGTCACAGCCACTGTGACGCACCTGATGAAAGAGATTTTTCATTATTTTCATGATTTACCATGTACCATTTACAAGATTCAAGAAAAATTAGCCTTATCAATATTAAACGATCTCTTCTAGGCAACCCTAATAAAACAAAACAGTCATAAAAAGAATTGTAAATAAATTATAGTAAAACTACTTATTAAGAACAACAATTTTATACAAAAAAAAAAAATTTGAGATAATCTAATACATATATAAAATTCTCGTGTCATAATGTTCGTTCCCATACTCTTCCGAAACGGCTCGACCGATTCTTATGAAATTTTTATGCATAATAATGAGTAAGTCTGAGAATCGGCTTCTATCTATCTTTATAAACCCTAAGTGATAAGGGGGGTCCACCCCACAAAATAAAAATTGAATGAAATTTTTTATGATACAATATACAAAAATACATACAACCCCTAATTTTTATCCCTCTACGATCAACCTTTTTATAAGATATACAAATGAAATGTTTATTTCCCTTGGTGATGGAACAATTGCTAATTCTACTTTTCTTCTGTTGTTGTTATCAGACAATATGTTAATATGGTCAAAAAGAAGAAAAAAAAATAAGGAATTTTAGCGTAAACAACTTCAGAACTGTCAGAGATTGAGAGAATGCACTACAAATATCGTTTATCACAGATCATAGAGTATAACAATAATAAACAGTAATTAATTATACCAATTCCAATTACATATTTAAGAACATCTGTTGGGTCAGCTAGTAACCGAATAAGAATAAACAGTACTTAATTTTTGTTAATTAAACAGATACCTACTTGGTAGAGATAGAGGCAGCGATATCTTCTCTATCAGCCACAAGTTCTAGCAGTTGGCACGCGACTTTGACGGCCCAGTATCTGTGCAGAGCTGCATTATCTGTCGTATCCTGAGAGATCGGATATATTTGAGATACACTATTAAATTATATTTTTTTTAATGTTAAATAATAATGTCTGTTGTGTTTGTTTTTAGCAAGATGCACATATAATATATATATATACATGGCGAGGATCAAGGGAATGAGGAGAAGAGGGCGCTCAAAAAAAGGTGGATAGAAGAAATAGAAGCGAAAGGAGACAGAAAGCAATGGAAATAGCTAGAGATGGCCTTTACCCGTGAAGGGGTTCCGATCAACGGTACTGAAGGAAGATAGGATATTAGGATAACAAGAAAAAAAATTATAAAATGTGTATATAATCTAAGCTGTATTCTACTTTAGTAACGATTGGAAATTAATGGGGCTTTTATTGTTCTTATTACTAAAAAGTTGAGTGTCAAACATAAAGCGCTCCTAAATTCTTTGCATATTTGTTTTCTAGATTAAGTAGTTTAATAACTTCGTAATTTAGTTATAATTCCATATTGAACCTATTAAAGGACAGCAGAAAAGAATGGATTTTCAAGAATTATTGAACCTTCAATAGTTTCTTTAAAGTGTTTGATTAAAATTGCTATCTACAGTATTAAAGTAACTACTTCAGACGAATGATTTTCTTGTCGGATGAAAATAATTAAAATCAAACTCACCGGCTCCAATCTCTCCACGTTTCTATTTAATTCGTTGAATAATTTCTCGATACCGGGTCCATCCACAAAGATATTATCTTTGCGGGCTCTACATTTATTTATGTCATTCAAGAGATTCGCAATTTCACTATTTCTATTGCGTTTCCTTCTCTTCTTATTATCTTCTTCTAAGTCAAAGTCAAACTCTGTTATTACATCTTTGTTCTTCTTCTTCTTTCGTCTGCTGCAAGACGATTCCGAATCAGCATCTTTTTTATTAAGATTTTTCTTTTTATTTGTTTCGACACCGTTTGCTAATTTTTCTTCGTTCTCTGATTTTTTCTTTTTCTTTTTGTTTTTTCCAGGACCGTTAGGAGTATCGAATTTATCGTCGTTATTATTATTTGTTGATATAATGCCATTCAGTTCATTATTCACTATCTCTAAAGTTTTACCATCTGCTGTTAGATTTTTATTATTATTTTCACTACCGTCTATATTCTTTCCATTTTTATTTTTAGCTTTCTTTTTAGGTTCCGCACTGATATCATTTTGAATACTATCCGTTATATTTTGAAGGATACTAATTAATTGACAGACTAGTTTGTTGGTTTTTACAATAGACGGCGAAGTTAATAATTTTTCTATTGGGTTTATTGAATAACTGTCGAATATTGTTAAAGTTGTACCGCTGAAACAAATGCGAATTTTATTGGTTTTATTACTAGTAATATGGCATTAGGTAATTTCTGATGTTTTTATTAATACAGAAATCTTTTCAATTTTCTGAACTCAGAACCTCCTACTAATTGCACTTACTTGGCCAGAAGTTTTTGTTTCATCTTCCTAGCTTTCTTCTTAGCAAACTTGAGCCTATCTTTTTCTTTCTTCTCCAACTCTTCTTTTTTAGCTTCATCTAGGGAATCTTTGTCATGACTTTCGGATGTCGTCTAAAAATTAGGAATCATTTTACATTTAATTTAAAAGATTTAATTGAAAGTAGGAAAACAAAGAAAATTTTAGACACGACAAAAGTTTCCACTTTCTTTCGATTTTTAAGAGTTGTATTGACATTTTATTCTTATATTGACCATACATATAATAGTCATCAGAACACCTCAAACTAATAATATATTTATATGAAGGGGAAATCTCACCGGTTGCCTTGGTCCGGTGGCCTTCTCCCTTATAGCCTGCAAGTGAGACGTGTGTCGCAATTGGCTAGCATCCTGCTTGTCCCGGATCCGAGACCTGAGAGCGTCGGCTTCCAATTCTGCTGCTTCCGCAAGGGCTGATAATCGAGATTTTACTGCTTCCGCCTGTAAAGTGTTTGTATAAAAATATATATAAAGTGCATTTTCCAATTATCTTTAACTGCTATTAACGTTACAATAAAGCATATATAAAAAAAATATTACAATGATTTAAAAATACACTTTACATTATTAAAACAACATTCATTATCGCTGTTTATAATTATATTATTTTAGACGAGCCAAAATTTTCGCAAACATTAGCTATGATGTATAGATATATTTAAGAAATCAAATCAACCTTATTACTCTTTCGTTGCTTGGTGTTAAATTATGATTGTTCTGATAAAAAGAAACAGTTAAGTACTAAAGTTAAAACGTCCAATAATTATTATAATCTTCAAGAACCATTTAAAATATATATATTTAAATTACTAGGGGAGCTGTCACATAATTATTATACATATTTATATAATATTATTAGTGCTTGGAGATACAATATTACTACATCGAACCAGTACGCCATTATTATTCTGTTTACAATGGCTAATTTCGTTAACACTGTCACAGCCCGGCTAGCTCAGTCGGTAGAGCATGAGACTCTTAATCTCAGGGTCGTGGGTTCGAGCCCCACGTTGGGCGACACACTTTTTTTTATTTTTTATTTATTATTAATACTGTACTTAATAATAAAAATCAAATTAATACTTATTATCAAATTTGTTCACTGGTTCTTAGTGCTTTAGAATATTAGCTCAGTCGTATAACATACTACAATGGATAGATCATCAATTTAGGTAAAATACATTGTTGCTGGAATGATTCCCACAATTCATGCAAATGAAGGTAGACTGTGTGTGTGATTTCAAAATGACTTACCTTCTCCCTCGCCGCATCGTCCCTCTCCTGTTTCTTTTGCTCCTTCATCTCTTCCAATCTTGCATCCCTCTCTTTTCTCTTCTCTAATAAGGTCTCCATTTGAAGTTTTCTAGCCGCTTCTAAGGCTTGTCTCCGAGCTCCGACGGCTGCTTCGCGAGCTGCTTTTTGTTCCTGAATTTATTTCACATTTTTAGGAAGTTTTGAATTTTTGCGTGACTTTTAATGAACATAATGGCCTAGTAGTGACTTAGTGATTTATAAAGCCATGTTCAATAAAAATAATTTATTGAACACCACGTACACTTGCGAAATCAAAAAAAATGTGTGTGTCACGGGACAAAAGTGACTTAAACTAATCTAAGTTGAACTATTTTATTCTGTAATGTTCCGAGGATCACCTTCTGCTTCATTCATCATATTTTTTATAATCACTTTCAAACACGGTGATAGTTTGAGGTTATATGTCACTGTCAAGAGTAAATGTCTAACGCACACTAAACGCTGAGTAGAGAGAGGGGAAAGCGCCTGTCCGAAATACGGCTAGCGTTGCGGGTTATAGTGAGAGAGGAGGATCCTGGCTACCGCTTCCGTATGCGTAAGAGAAAGGGAAGCTAGACAGACTGGCGCCGTAACGCGTTACGTAACGAAACGTTGTACCCTCCCATAAGAAGTAAATGTACTTTTCTGCCAATTCTCCAATCAAGAGCGTAAATGAGAAGAAAGTATAAGAACTGGCAAGAAAGAATATAGCTTTTTAAAAGGAATTATGTTTGTTTTTTGAAATATTAAGGTACGTTCAGCCTTATTCGCGCTAAATTTATCAATCTTTAAAACATAGTTCATACAAAACATGAAGCAGTGTCGTGCATTCAAATTCCGGTAGTAAGGAAACTGGCATGCCTTAGAACCAAACCCCGACACGCGTCAGGCACAAATAGCTGATCACCTACTTGCCTAATAAGGAAAAAAATCACGAAACAGGTATTTCATAATACTTACAAGTTTAGTAAGTCGGTCACGTCTCATTTGCCGAAGTCGAGTGGTTAACGACTTGCACTGATCCAGGAATTCGTGCCTTCGATTCTCCGCTTCTAATTGTTTAATGAACGCAATCTCACGCAGTTTCTCCTCTTCGTCGTGGGCTTTGCGAACTATATCCTAGAATGAAATTTACACAAAGGTACTTTACTTATTGTTACCTAAAATATTTAACTTATATCGCGTTGCAAAATAAAACATATTTTTAATAATTAATATTGTTCGGAGATTTCTTTTTCGAGTCTCGAAACAAAAAGAAAATATTTGAAATATTTATTTATTTCAATATTTAAAAGAATTTTGGTCTCAGTTACTAAACCACCATCGTCACCTATCGTGTATTATCAGTCGTAAACAAACTTAGAAACTGTCAAGATGGCCAGTAAAAGCAAAGCGTTATGTGTTTAGAATAATTTACCTATTGATAGTAATCAAATTAAACATTATTGTAATTGATTAAATTTGATTTTTTTCTATTTATTCGATATAACGAAAACTCTCTATAACGAAAGAAAGAGGTCGATCCCTAGACATTCGTTATAAAGAGTTTATACTGTATTATATAAACAAATTTTTAATATTTCAATTAAAAGTACTATATTTATTATTTAAAAATTATACTCTCGGATATTGAGCCTAATAAATTTTTTAATTCATTAATAATTTCTGCATCCTATAAAGAAGCATTGAAAAAGTGTGTCCTAATGAGCAAACTACGCAAAATGTTACCTTCAAGTGCTGATCGCGGTTTTCAGCAGCCTTTTGCAGACGGCGCTCCATTCTCAACTTCTTTTCTTCTATCAACTGGTTCTTAGCGAGCTAAAACACAAGCAAATTAGAGAATCTCCAACCATCAGCTATGGGAGCTATGCAATGAGGTGCCAATTGACAGGTCTATAAAACGTCGAAATTATAAATGGGTAGGCCATACGCTTCGGATGAAAGTCACATTACCAAGCAAGCCCTCGTCTGGAACCCTCAAGGCAAAAGGAGAGGTGGCCCAAAACAGACATGGCAACGAAGCATCATTGCAAAGGCGAAGCAAGCTGGAATGACGTGGAGTGAAATTAAGAGAGCTGTCCAGGAACGATCAGGCTGGTTTTCTACGCTGGACGCCCCCTGCCCCACTTGGGGGACATATTATGTCTTTTAGTCAAGTAGGTCAATTGTACGAGCCACGGCTGTACGTTTTCCGCACTTTTTTGATTCATAAGAGTTCCAATTGTCAAAAACGTCAGAGTTGAGCCCCGAGAGAATAGACTTCTATATATTATTTACCCACGTAAAACAAAGAATAGAGTTATTTAAAGAATCCAGTTGACAAGTGACCATGTTCCATGTTTACTGCATATTACTACTTTCAATAAATTCTAGAGATAAGTGTGGCTGAAAGTTAATCTTAATATATATAAATCTCGTGTCACAATGTTTGTCCTCAATGGACTCCTAAACTACCGAACCGATATCAATCAAATTTGCACACCATGTGCAGTTCGATCCAACTTGAGAGATAGGATAGTTTAAATCTCAAATTATAGTCGCAATTTTAATTTATTGCAAAATATTTGTTTATTATTTGATACAATTCTAACAGATGGCGCTGTGTTAAAATTATCAACGTTTAACATAAGCTGTCATCTACCTTTCACATAAGTTCTCCTACCGTTTCCCTTGAATAGTTTACTACTATGTAATATAACTAAAACCTTAGCCACAGCAACGCTTGGCCGGTCTGCTAGTAGATTATAAACAAGCGAGTATTAATACTCGTCGATAACAAATAGGAACCGTAACAGGAATTAATATATTATATTTTCCATACCTTCACTTCCTCCACCCTGGCCAATAGCTGATGAATGCGTTTAGCCCTCTCCGTCTGATACGACATGCGCTGTCTTTCCGCTCGAGCTTGTTTTGCCTGTAATCTGTTCCGAAACCAGTTTAATTTTCAGGTCTAAGAGGCACCAAAAACCCACTCAGCAGGGGTTTGACCTTGGGGGCCGTTCAAGTATTACGTGGCAATTTATCCCCCTCTCCTCTTGTCAGCAAAAGTAAGAAAAACTCTCAAAAATAATAGTAAATAAACGTATTAATTTTTTGTAGGTAATGCATTTCGTTTTCAAGAATAGACAATGTGTGGATAATATGTGTGTAAAAAAGTAAACAATTACTGTTGACGTAATCACCAAACCGTGCCTAAAGTTGTCATTACTATAAATTATAGTATTTTTTTCTTAAAATTATTGTTTTATTAAACACAATGTACAATTTCAGAAGCTTTATATATACCTTCTTAAAGCATCTTGTAGACTCCCTCGTCGTTTTATGCCTTGAGAAAGCTTAGCGTGCAATTGCTGAGCCCTACCTACAAACCGAAAGCGTAGTTTTCATTTTATTGTATTATAAAAAGGCGCCATTCTCTATCTCAAAGGATGACAGGAAAAAATATATTACATAAAATAAAAATATAATGAGAAATAGTTACAGTTAAAATATTCAGTTTATTTGTTATTTTAGTCACAACCATAAAATCTAACATCAACACATCTTGTGTTGCCTGGTAAATAAATAAGCACGGATTTGTTCATAAAAGCAGATATTTCTATGAAAAATTGCGTTCGAATGTACTTCGAAAATTTTTAGATACAAATAAATATCCAATAACAAAATGCCTATCCAAGGATTCTAAACGTAAAAGTATGTATAAATAAAAGTTTTGAAAATCCAAAAGTGCACGCCTCATAGCGGTCATTCACATTTAAAAAAAAAAATTCTAAAACAAAAACTCAAGTTTTTTAAAACAAAATAACAAAAAAATAAAATAAATGAAAATGAATGATTGAAAAAAACAATAATATAATAAAAAAATATATAGTGGCGCCATAACTCTAAGGTGAGGAAAAAAAATATACTAAAATAAATGTATATATATATAGATATACAAATACACAGTCGTATTTTAGTTTTTTACAAATTATAATTAAACGACAGTACTTAGAACGCTAATATTAACTAGGAATCAGCCCATAACTTTATATAATAACAAAAAAAAAGTATTCTGGTACGATAAATTTTTCGACCAATTTCTCTGCCACATACATGGATCCATAAACACAGACTGACGGACGTCCAAGAATGATTGATTTTAATGTTATTATTTACTATGTTAAACAAAATAATAGTTCATAAAAAATACCATATGTGCTTGATAGACTATTTAACTCGATTTAAGTGCACTCATATTATCCTGTAAGTGTTATATTAGTGAGAAAAAAGTCATTCAAGTTTCGAAAGACTGGTTTTTTGACATGTATGATTTTGACGAGAGTAGAGCACTGCCTCCGCTCCGCTAATGAGGCGTGCAATAATAATTATGTCACGTTTCATATCATTAGTACAAAAAGTTCTCTCGTCCACTCACCAGGATCCCTAGCCACGAGGGCCTCCAACACCACGAGCGTATCAACTCTTTCGGCCCAGGACATCCCGGCTAAGGCCGTTTCGTACTGGTCTTCTAGGCTGGCCGTAAGAGACCCCAGGCCTTCTGGCATCGGCACTGGGGTGGAAGCCGGTTCTTCTAAGGGGATTTCTGCGTCAGTCTAAAAATATTATAAGTGTTATTAAGTGTACTGAACTGTATTACCGTATTTTTAACAGTTAAATATCTTATAATTTCTACACCTATTAGGTAGGTTAAAAAGTTCGTAGGCTGACACATAGATGGCGCTTCTAGTATTAATTTAATATGATTTTTAGTTAGCTAGCTTCAAATACACGTGTATATATTTGACAACTGTCGTACTATTAGTTTGTGAGATATAGTATTTCGAGTGAAGGAAAAAAAATGGTAAAAAGGAATTTCGTCTAAAGCAATCCTTTTTGGCGATAATAAAATATTATTGAAGTCAAGACTCTGGACTCTGCACCAGGAAATTCAACCGTTAAGAAGTGGTTTGTAATATTTCTTATATTGAATAATTAAATCAAATTCCATCAGAAATATTATTTTTTCTAAGTTATCCTACGAACTTTTCAGCCCACTTTTATTGTAAAATTCTTAATGTTATTCAAACTATTACTAAAAACGCATTTCTACAAATTAAATATAGTTTGTATCAAGTTTACAGCATATGACTAATTTCAATAATTTCTGGTAGAGATAAGTGGCGTTAATCGATTACATTTTAGGCTGAATTAAATTATACAAGCAAAGAGTTAAGACTTGTTGATAATAAATAGTATTCAAATAAACTTTTCATATGCTAGTGAACAGTATATTTAAGAATAACAATCATTACCTCAGTATCATCAGTTTCCGTGTCAAGATCGATGTCAGACACCTGTTGTAGCTCCATGATTTGCCTGTTCAAAAGATCTTCTTCTTCGCAAAGCTTACGCTGGTCGACTTCCGACTGAAAATCTAAAGCCAAACTAATCTTCCGTTCGTTCTCCTCAATTTGCGACGTCATTTCCGCGATTTCCGACATTTCAGATGGATCGGCGGTCTTTAATATTTCGTTGTGATCAGAGATGTGATCGTCTTCTTCCAAAAAATTAAATGTCGATTTAAATTCAGCCTTCCATTTATCAAAATCAAACTCTTGGTGTACACTTTCTTCAGATCGTGTTAAGCCCATGGTAAGACTTTCCAGAGAGGAGTGTAAGCGATTTTTTTCTTTGGAGACGCTTTTGGCTTTTTCAGCTTTTTTCGTCAGCACTTTGTTTTTTGATGAGCGCGTTTTCAGTCCGGTAATATCAGATTTTTGTCGCCTCATTGTAGGATCTCTTTTTTCAGATTTCTTGCTAGATTTTATAGCCTTTTTTTCTTTTTCAACCTTTCGTGGTTGTTCGGATTTAGCACGGTCACCGCTGTCTTTAATATCAATCGATATAGGGTTTTCTTCTTTGGGCGATTCTAACATGTTTAATGTTGGAAGACTTGCCGTAGCTGTCGGTTGACGGAAGCGATTAGCCCAGTGGCTTTTGGATTGCTTTTTAGATTCTCGCCTTGATTTCACTGTTAACCACCCATCGTTATCATTTTTACTGTACATATTAACTCCTGAAGAGTTTATATCTTGCGTTGCCTGCAAATCTTCAGGAACGAGTGTTTTAATACTTTCATTCGATTCATTTCTAACCATATCGATTGCAATAGGATTTTCGACTGATTTTTCAATGAAGACGCTTACGTTTTCACGTTTATCACCCTTTTCATTAAGTCTTAAAGAGGAAGGCCGTGGGCGAGTTCTAAGGTTTAATCTATTTCCCGATTTGGCGTCACCCGATCCCATGTGGATAGTTCTAATTGACGTTTTCTTTGTTACAATTTGTCCTCTGTTGATTGAAGTAGATGGAACTGTATCGAAAAGGCTTGGTCTTCCGGTGGTTAAATTAAATGGATAACTGCATTTGCTCGTTTGAGCTCTTTTCTGAAAAGGCCTCTGAGTTTTGACTGTCGGTGGACGTAGTTCTACAACTGTTGAGCTTCTAGCTAATTTTATAGGCATTTTAGTTTCTGCTTTTATTGGTTTTTCTGTCTGGCTTGTTGCTTTAGGCTTAGCAGCTGCTTGAGAGTATGCTGGCTTGGAAAACTTAGCCTCGGGCTTTTTCATGTCTGTGTCCTTTTTGGAGTTTTTGTCAGTTTCATACGTACTACTAGTTGTTTTTTCAACCTCTTCCTCTACTACCACCTCAGAATTATTTTTGTTGAGTTCAAAATCTTTTTGACCAGTAGAATCTGTGCCCTCATCTTTATTTTCAAGAATTTGACTGTCCTTCGGTGCATTCGAAATTAAGTCATTTTCAATAAACACTTGTTCGAGCAATAAGTCTTGCTCACTTATTTTCTCTCCTTCAATTTCTTTTTCAATTATAGAAGTCTCCGTGCGCCGTTCTTCGGCAGTTTTATCCGCTGTTTTTTCATTCTCAATAGCAATTTTAATACCACCAATGGCAGGTTTATCAGCATCGACAATCACTACCTGGCTATTGTTTTTTACATTTGAATCCGAGCAATCCTTTTCAATAGAATCACAATTATTAAAAGGCTTGTCAGCCTCTATGCCATTGTTGATCATAATATCATTTTTTGCTTTATTTTCCATAATTTGTTTTTTTAAGAACTCATTTTCCATGACATTAAGTTTGTCAACAGTTGACTGAGCATGGTTTGACATATCCTGAACTTTGTTATTAACATTCTCCTTTTTTGTCAAGGATTTTGGTGACTTAATGACCACCAACTTTGGAGATGCACAAGGACTAAGTTTGGCATGTCCTATTTCCACCACTTTCGGTTTTAATATATCCATATCATCCTTTTTTTCATATACTTTAGCATCCTCGCATATTTCTTTAACATCTTTTTCCTTGATATCTGAAAGTCTAGACAGTTCTTTTGCAATTTTTGGCTCAGGTTTAGCAGTAATTTTAGAAGTATTGATTTTGTTGCTAAAGAACTCAATATTTGCCTTAGGACTGGTACTGGAATGGCCTGAAGCAACCCTAGGGCTTATTTTTCCACTTCCTGGACTCACTTTCCCAGTAGGGTTAGGGCTGTTTTTTCCACTAGGTGTATTATATCCGGAGAATGATGGGCTGTTTTTGCCTGACACTGTAGGGGAACTTTTAACTGAATATGCGCGTTTTGGTTCTGGCTTAACAAAATCAGTCTTTCTAATCTCCCATGCTAGGCTCTGTGGTCTTTGCGGTGGAGGGGTGTTATCATAATCCCACTTAACTCTAAACCACTCGGCTAAAGCCTTGAAATCGCGTGTGTAGTTCTCTAAAACAAGTATCACTTCTTGGCACTCATTGAGATTTTCATTTGCTTGAACAGTGTTGTATATTTCACCAATCTGTAAAACAAATTACTGTCATTCAAGCAGCATTCTACACTGGCATGCCATTTACCTAACTTAACAGTGCAGATCATATACAAATAATATATATAAAAAAAAACAGTGTAACTTGGGCCTCAGATTTCTGTCTCATAATACTTTGTCAAACTAGTAGGCAAGTAGGTGATCAGCCTCCTAAGCTTAACACGCCGTCGACTTTTTGGGTCTATGGCAAGCCGGTTTCCTCACGATGTTTTCCTTCAGGGTTTGAGCAAATGTTAAAAACCTACATAAGACAATAGAAAGACAATAGACATACAATAGACAGAAAATCCATTGATGCACAGCCAGGGATCAAACCTACGTGCACAAGGATAAGAGTCGCAGGCGGAAGCCACTTGGCCAACACTGCTGGCTTGGTTTTGCATATACAATATAAGCCAGTATTAATTTTGCATATAAATATACACTATATATTGTTGCTTGAAACCGAACAACATTTTGCTAGTTAACATATCCAGCTTACTTTGACAACTAATCTATTGCAACTGACCTAGACAAGCTTAAAATAACTTGCACATTAAAATTTCAAGTGTAACTAAGCCATCAATACAGTTCGACCTAAATCCATCAAATCAATAATTTCACTGCCTTGTGTCATTCTTACAAAGTATGACTCACTGAACTGCCTACTTGACTAAAAAATTTTCTTTAAGACAGATGCAGAATACTAGCTGCTTGCCCAATGGGGTGGTTCTGATGCCTTAAGTAAATGTTTATTTGATGCAACTCCCCATTAACCTTGGCACAGTTGGCACTTACGAAATCAGAATCGAAGCTATTATTAAAAATAAATTTTACTTACTCAGAATCAAATGATATTTGGTTCAAATTTATGTATAAAATTTATTGATTTTACGAAAGGTTAGAACTGATTAACTTGATAATACTCATAGAAATTAATAAATACTACTAACTAATATACTGATGATACTGATAGAAATTACATTTGACTTTTGTTATCTATATAATTAAAATTACCTAACTAAGGAATATGTATATAGTACTCACAGCTCTTTGCAAATCACCAAATAACAATGCCCAGTATCGTGCACGGAGCTCAGATCGTTTATCTCGGCCTGCAGATGCTGACCGGAGCCGTGTTGTTCGAACTGGTGGTCTTGGTGGAGGTGGATATGCACGAGGAGGTTTACGAGATAACTTAGAAGCTTTAAAGAAAAGAAAAAATCTATATAAATACTTAAATTTACATTTGAAAAAGATGCAGTTTAATATAAATTATTTCTATTACAGTTTATTATATAATAGGGTACATATAATTATATATTAATATTATAATAATACAAGTAGTTGGCATTAGCTATAATTTATAGCTAATGCCAACTACTTGTATAGAGAATACCCAGGGACTTGTAAATGTTTATGGCATAATTAATAAAATTAGGCAAATAATATTTTAAATAACTAATTGAAAGGATTCTAATGATTATCATCATAATAGGTATGTTTTGGCCAGGCAAATTAATTGCTTAATAATTTATTGCTTATTACTTTTATAAAGGAGTATTACCCCATTTTTAAGATTTGTGACTACTTTAATTTTATATATATATATATATTATTTTAAAAGCAACACTCAATTGTTTTAATAAAGAAAATTCTTATTAACATTCAGATACAAGCTTTAATAATGATGATGATGTTTAGTATAAATAATATGACATGGAATAAATTTATATTAACAGTTATTCATGCATATTCAGAAATTGTTACTTTGTACTTGATTAAATATTGATTAAGTAAAATATTTTTAGCTCGAGTACCAACATAACATGCTCCAATAATACAGTCAACACACCTACACAACGTTTCATTTGTGAATTATACAAGCCTCGCTACTTTGTGACAATTACCTGGGGTTTCCACGGTAACGTGATACGCCACTAAGTTTCTTGCCTCCCTACCTTCCTCCTGCACCAATTGCCTCACTTCTTCCATATCAAATTAAAGTACTTGAGATTTCATTGCAAAACAAAAGATTCACAGACATCACATACTTAGTAAGCACATTAGACAATAAAAAGACTATTTCTATTCTAAGAAAACAAAATATAAAGTAAAAAGAAAGTTATATATAAAATTACATTTGAATGAATATGCAAAAAAATAAATTTCTGTCGAGTTATAAGATTTAATAAAAACCGTTCAATATTTTCATAACAATTTTCTGCGTTTTCGTTTTGACAGATTTAAGAATCTTGACAGGTGCTTACTGCTCCTGCACTTTGGGATGCACTTATTTTTTAGCTTGTTTAAAAGTTACCAACAAAATAAATTTGGTTCTTGGTATTCTATAAGATTTAGTTAGTCTTGAGAAAGTATTACAAAATACAGGTAGAAATTATGGTTTGCTATTTAGCTATGCATAAGTTTGCAAGATTTAATTCCTAATTTTTCCTTATAAATTGTTGTTATAATATAATGAATTTATCTGTCACATAGACAGTAGAGCATATTCGTTAAATGTCAATGCACTAACTTGGCCCACTATAGGGTTCTATGATCTATGCCATTTCTTTTCGTTGTCAAGCAAAATGGCGGACCAGGTTAGTGCCGAATCTCCTGTTATTTTATTAATTTTTTAGTGTTATTTTCTTAGTTTTTGTGCCAATTCAATTTTAAACATCTTTTCAATAATGCGGATAATTAATTTTAGAAATTTTATTTTAAATATAAGAATGGTTTTGATATCATCCACGTGGGAAAAGTATCGATTAACTGTTTTGATAATTATTTTAAACCAGATATTGCACATTACGGATTCAGTTAATTTCAGCAAATGCTTGTTTAGTTTAATAAATAATTAATGTGAACTTCAACATATGGACCTTTATAGTTATGAAATATAGGTTAGGTTGTGTGTGTGTGGATGAGAATAATAACTATGTAGCAGCTACTATAAGGTAAAAACGAGGGTTGCACATACAATATACACTATTAAAGTACTATTTATGTGATTTATCAACTCCCGTATCCCAAAATAACAGGTTTAATTTTGTTGTAATTTATCTATTTTTTTTATGTTAGAACTACTTTTTATTATTTCACGTGGTTGTCTCCTATTATTTTTAAATTTTGTATAATAACTCCGTCAAACTAATTATAATTAAACTTGCAGACGGAACGTTCATTCCAAAAGCAACCAACAGTGTTTTTAAACCGTAAAAAGGGAATTGGTGTGAAACGTAGCAGAAAACCACTGAGGTACCACAAAGACGTGGGTCTCGGTTTTAAAACTCCTCGAGAGGTAAACTTAATACTAATGTGCTATTTTTTTTCTGTAGACAGAGAAAGCGTTTCAGAAACAGTTGACGGTGTTCCTCAACCGTAAAGGGGGTCTGAAGAGGAAGGACATGAGACATCATAAGAATGTTGGTCTAGGATTCAAAACTCCAAGAGAGGTCTGATTTTGTTTACAGTTGCTATTCAGGTGGTGGCTTCATCGTTGCTAAGGGATTTTTGGCTGTAATTTAAAAATGTCTTATTTAATTAATCAATTTATGAGTTAATCTGATTAACTTATGTTTATAACAATAAGCAATATTTTAAGACATTTTTAATTTGGTTACTTATACACATGCTGGTCTATGTAATACACTGCTAAATCATCATCCATGTGGGCTGGTAAGATGCATGTTAATAATACATTTATTATAATAGTGGCTATACTTATGCTAATTTATATGGGGTCTACATGGATTTGCTATACTCTCTAGACAAGTTAAAACTAATAATGCTAATCTCACTATTTTACATCATTCAAATATACAATTTATGTATTTATGAAACTCATGTATGCTAAAAATATTTACTATAATTACACAGGTGACTTTAACTCTATTTTGCCTTATTATGCTAATAAGGTTTCATATAAAGCCTGATTTTTTTAATATTATTAAATGTCTTTATAAAAAAATATAATTATAAGTGAAGACAATTTGAAAATATCATGCTTTAAATGTAAATACAATGTAATGCTATATAATATATTCTATTATAATCCAAATATTTTTATGATATTAATATATTTGATATACCTACCTAAATGTTTTGATAATTCTAAATTAAATTACCCTGTTATAAACCAAGATGATGATATTCACACGACGGTCTTCTGACTACAAAATGAAGATGAACGTGTTTTAACCCAAACTCTGATTGGACTTTTTTTTTATAATGCCATTAGCCTCAGGGCTCAGTTAATAAAATAATACACATTTTTATTTAAATTTACTCAATTAAAATTCATTTCTTTTTTTAAAGTTAATGGTATTATAAAGATTGTGCTACTATTATGTTATCACAATGGTAAACTATAAATTTATTTTATTATTTACTTATCATTAATTCTGCAGGCAATTGAAGGTACCTACATTGACAAGAAGTGCCCCTTCACTGGCAATGTCTCAATCCGTGGTCGTATCCTGACTGGAGTAGTCCAAAAAATGAAGATGCAACGCACTATTGTCATCAGACGCGACTACCTACACTACCTGCCTAAATATAACAGATTTGAGAAGAGACACAGAAATATGTCTGTACATTTGTCACCTTGCTTCAGGTATGTTCTTTTTATGACTGTCTATATGCAATTTTTACAGTTATTTATTAAAATTATTAATTATTTAAAATTTGCTTTTTAAACACATTTTTCTAGTTTCAAATAAGAGTCACAAAAACATAATCTTATACATTATTAGTGTTGTGTTAGTGAAGCTAGCAGTAATTTCAAAACGCGCCAAGGAATAATGATGATACTCACACGACGGTCTTCTGAAGACTATATGACGATAAACGTGTTTTAACCCAACATCTGAATTTAGCTGTAACTAAGCAAAGATATCATTTTATGTAACATCAATAATAAATTATTTATTTTATATTTTCAGAGACGTTGAACTAGGGGATATCGTCACTATCGGCGAATGCCGGCCACTATCCAAGACGGTGCGATTCAATGTATTGAAGGTTTCCAAAGGAAAGGGATCTAAGAAGTCATTCAGAAAGTTCTAAATAAAATTACTATATAAGTACAACTACTTTTCATTTGTAATTATAACCTTGCTAATTTCTGTGCGGCTGCTGCATTGTATTCATGATATTATAGATAGGAATAATAAAACATTCAATTAAGTGATTAACAAATGTTGTGTCCTCTATGATCAGTATCTTGGTGTTTAGCCATTGCTTAAATGAAAACTGAAACTCTGGAATTATTACTATTACTGTGTTTAATTTTTTTGCGTGGATGTGAATAATATATAAAAGGTCAGAAATGCGAAATATGCTATAAAAAACTAAAAATTCGAAACACACTAGTTGCCAGTTGTGGTTGTTTTGAGAAAGGGGAGGCCAATAAATTAATGGTTTGAATGTAAACCATTTAACGCAGAAAAGACGCATTGTAATGTTAATCTACCAGGAGCTTAATTTTAGTAGGTACTTAATGAGTTCTATTGTAACTAGGGAATGTAACCGAGATCTCGTGGGATTAATAATAAAAATATACCATTCCAATTAGATGACATAGATAATATATTTTAAGACTAATTTTAACAAATAAAAATGAAATAAATAAATAATCAGCCAGCAGCCTACGCGTACACTTGTCTCCCGGGGTTGACAAGCGTACTCACAAACTGCCTAACAATAAAGAAATACTAAGATATTGTGTTTATGACGTTAACTAAGAACCGACATTATTTTAAAGAAAAATATATATATAGTAAAACATATTAAGACTGCTCCTATTCTTTGAATAATAGTTGTAATATAAATCAAAAACCATTCATTCGTATAGGTCAATGTACACTTATGAACGTCAAAAAAGAAATATGTACATTAAATGCTTCTAATTTTACATTCACTGCCAGTTCTCAAATCAAGGGTGTAGAACGGAAGATAAAAACTGGCAATAAACTCTCCGCCAATCTTTTCAATCGCCTAGTTTTTTGTTTTCACAACGTTTGTAAGGAGCTACAACCATGACACCGTGTTCCACATGACATCTTAGTAATAAACAATAATAAATGAAAAACAGATTTCTCCTCTATCAGCAAGAGGCATGGTGCAATAGGAGCACGCACTTACATTCTCGTGGGGACAACACGCAAATACTTTTAATAAAACACTATTTTGCGTGCGTTAGCGTGCGTGGTCACGGTGACACCGTGACCACGCACGCTCAAAAGCACGCAACGTCGGATAAATTTAAAATTATGTTAAATAGTTGTAAATTTATAATAATACATAACTTCAAAAGCGGTCGGTTTTATTAAATGATTAAAAGTTATGTTAATCAAAGACAATAGTATGCAAATATTTATCGAAATAATACATCACCGCATACACGAATTCAAGAACGCCCCCCCCCACAACAAGGACCCCACCCCCCTCTCCGCGTATGCGGCGCCGGCGCTGGTCCCCCCCCCCTTTTTGTTAGGGAGAAGACAACCCCCCGGCCGCCCCCCCCCCCAACAATCTACTGCTTGTGGAGGTTAAAACTACCTGAATTCTACCGAAAGGAACAGAAAATCTATTATATTTTTTGTGTTTTCATGTAAACATGAATAAAATAGAATTTAATTTGAAAGTTTTTTAGTTAAATCAAAAAAGACAATACTATACGTAAAACTATGTTGGGTAACAGTCATAGAAATTTTCAGTCCATTAACTTGAACATCACCGTCTATACCGTAATTATCTTCATAAAGCAATCAAAATGGAACTAATGTTTTGTAGTCTGTCAATAGAATCAAGGGTCCGACCACTTTGAACAATAACGTAAAATGTAGCACCGACACTTTAAATAAGGGATCTCGCTCATTCATTCGATCCTTGTGTTATGTTTCATTTTAAACTCGAAAAATCCAATAAAGGATTCCCTTGGTCCCCAATAGTAACGCCATATTTTAGGGGAGAGCCCAAAAGAAAATAACTAACGTGAATTCTACTAAAATATACCAAATAATTTTTACCTAAATTCTGTGACGTACCTCAAAATTCCCAAAAAAAGGCAATCTGGATGACGCCACAAGCAATGACATTTAAGCGAGCATAACGATCCTTGAAATGTGAACTTGGCTACATAAGAAAATAATAATAATACTAATTATACTAAAAAAAAATACTATTACAGTCGTGGTCCGTGGATGTTGATGATCATTGATCGCCCCAGAGTCTGGAAATGCAGCCGAGAGATTCAGTCGCGTTACCTCTTTATACTGGAGCAATTCATATCCAAGCAAAGCATTTAAATATACATTTAGATTATAATAGGCTTAGCAAAGCAAAGCATTTAAATATTCATTTAGATTATAATAGGCTTAGCATGCAGTTTTACTTTAATGTACGATTTTAATTTATTTATTGTCAACACCTTTTTATATCTCACTAGGGATTTTTTTGAATAAACGTGATGTAAACCTCTTTGATGTAAACTTCTTACATGATACTATTATAAAATGATGACATTGTCAATCTGTTTAGACACTAACTTTTGTCAATGGGCGTGTTCGGCCGAAGTAAGTACTTACTAAATTTAGTAAGTCACTTACTATGCTTACAAAATTTTCGGCCGGGACACAAAATAAGTGCTAACGCAGTAAGTATGGCTTAATATACGACGCCATTTTGCTTATTGTTGATGTAAACAAAACGGACAGGAACAGACCTGTCATTGTTCAGATATGTACGGGATATGACATAAACCGGTGTTTTGTGTTATGTTAATAAGCCAGTAAGTCTGTCCTGGCCGAAAAGCGCTACAGTCAGCTTGTAAGACTTTAATTTTTTTATGCTTACTGGCTTACTAAGTTTAGTAAGTACTTACTTCGGCCGAACACGCCCAATGTATCAAATGTAACCAAAATATTTTACTGTTAATTTAGCTTATTAAAACCTTATATTCTTCAAAGGTTTTGTCTTATTTCAATTTAATAAGCTAGATAAAAAGAAACATGGATAAATATCTTCGCCCTGAAAGATTTGATATCGACCCGTCAAATAGCTCTGGTACGAAAGCTTGGATACACTGGCATAAGACTTTCGAAAGCTTCATTTCCGTGCAGAAACCGACAGCTCCAGAAACAGATGCACAGTCGGTTCCTCCGTCAGAAAAATGGGACAGCATAAAGTTTCAGCTTTTGATAAATCATATATCACCAAATATATACACATATATAAGCGAAGCCACGAACTACGAAGAAGCGATCGCAATACTGCAAAAACTGTATGTAAAACCAAAAAATCGGATTTTTGCTAGACATATGTTAGCAACAAGGAAACAACGATCAGAAGAAAGTATCGACATATATTTACAAGCTTTGAAACTACTTTCTAAAGATTGTGACTTTGCGGCTGTTGATGCAGAATCAAACAAAAACGATAGCGTGCGTGATGCTTTCATATCCGGTATATCATCGCATAAAATCAGACAAAGGCTTTTAGAAAACTTAAATCTAACACTTGACCAAGCTTACAACCAAGCACTCTCTCTAGAAACTGCAGAGATCAACTCTCAAAGCTTTCATACTGTGTCTTTAAATGCCGTTGAAGAAGAACCTAAATTAGTCTGTCCCAAATCACAAACTGTGCACGACGAGACCTGCTCTTCTGTTAATAATCCTCGACGACGAAAATGTTTCTTTTGTGGGGGACAAATACATCCTCGTAAGAACTGCCCTGCATTTGAAAAGTCTTGTCAGCTCTGCAACAAGAAGGGGCACTTTGCCACTGTTTGCAGAAGCTCTTCTAAACCTACAAATTTTATGGTAGTAGGTACTGAAAATCTTTCTTGTATCACAGCAGCGTCACCTTATTCATTACACAAAGCTACTGTACCCGCGTGTATTCGAGGAATAAGAGCAGAGGCACTTCTCGACACCGGCAGCTCCATCAGTTTTATAAATGACAGTTTTGCAAGACTATGCGGGTTAAAAAGAAAATCCTGCAATCAGATTATTTATATGGCCTCTCTTAATCATACTTCACAAGTAGAAGGTCAAACTTTGCAAAGCCTGAAAATTGGAAATCATAAATATGATAATGTGACCGAACCAATAGGGTTACCTTGCAGTGGATAAAGGGACACAGTGGATCTCTCGGCAATGATGCTGCAGACGAGCTTGCGAGAAGAGGCTCCGGAATGATGCCTGCTGGCCCGTATCCGCTCCTCCCTTTGCCCTTCTCGCTGATGCGAACCTGGATTCGCCAGAGATCCGCTGAACTCCAGCAACAACGATGGTCGCATGGTGCGGCCTGCAGACAGTCCAAAGTGGCTCTGCCAGCAGTAAACCCGCAACTGACAAAGCGACTACTAAGCTTAAATAGAACCAACCTTAAAACAATGATAGGGACAATAACGGGTCATTGCCTCCTAAATAAACATCTTTTTGTCCTAGGCGCGACAGACAGCCCCCTGTGCAGAGGCTGTTTCAGCGCAGAGGAAACAGTCACCCACGTAGTCCTGGAATGCGTGGCTGTGGCTAATCAACGTGAAAAAATCCTCGGAACGGTGAGGTCGCTCCGGGAAGCCTGTGAAGTGCCCAGGAGACTTCTGTGCTTCTGGAAGGAGCTAGGCTGGCTAAATTAGCCAGGACTCGTACGCACAACGGACCATTTACGAGTCTAATTGCGGAGAAACGAGTCCTACTACCCTAACCCTAACCCTAACTATGATAATGTGAATCTTCTTATCGTGAAAAATCTTTGTGCTGACATAATTATCGGCCATGACGTCCTCGAAGAACATTCATCGCTAGAGTTCTCTTTCGGTGGGCCAAAACATCCACTTCAAGTATGTAACGTAGCCGAAGCATCAGTACCAGCTGTACCGCTTTTTGCAAATGTATCTCCCAACTGCAAACCTATTGCTATTAAGTCTCGAAGGCACAGCAAAGAGGATAGTGAATTTATTAAAGAGGAAATCAGAAACCTTACAGAAGAAGGCGTGATTGAAGAAAGTAAATCACCGTGGAGGGCCCAAGTACTAATAACAAAAACCGAAACTCATAGAAAACGTCTTGTGATTGATTACTCCCAGACAATTAATCGTTACACAGAACTCGACGCGTACCCTTTACCAAACATTGAGGACTTAGTTTCGGAAGTGGCAAAGAATTTATTTTTCAGCCTAATAGACTTGAAAAGCGCGTACCATCAAGTACCTATACTACCCGAAGAAAGAAAATTTACCGCTTTTGAAGCGCTCGGAAATTTGTACCAGTTCAGGCGTATCCCTTTTGAAGTAAAAAATGGTGTTTCGAGTTTCCAACGAACAATCGATTGGATTATAAGGAAAGAAAAGCTTCAAAACACATATGCGTATCTTGATGATATAACTATTTGTGGCCGTACTCTTCAAGAACACGATCATAACTTAGAAAGTTTTATGAATGCCGCAAAGAAATACGGTTTAACACTGAGTATGCTAAAATGCAAATTTTCTCAAGAGTCAATTAATATTCTAGGCTATAATATTCAAAACCACATAATTAAACCTGACAGTGAGCGACTCAAGCCACTGATTAATTTACCTGCACCAAGCGATTTACCGACCTTAAGAAGGACACTCGGCATGTTCGCACATTATTCTAAGTGGATTCCAAACTTTTCTGAACGGATCCACTCATTTGCTAATACGACTACTTTTCCGCTCACAAGCGAGCAAATTAAATGTTTCCAAGGCCTGAAAAATGATATCGCAAAGTCTTCTAGACATGCAATTGATGAAAATATACCTTTTACAGTCGAAACTGACGCTTCCGATCATTCCATTGCAGCAGTACTTACGCAAAATTCTAGACCAGTGGCGTTTTTCTCAAGAACTTTGAATTCAAGCGAACAAAACCATTCCGCCATTGAAAAAGAAGCGTACGCCATTGTTGAATCATTGAAGAAATGGAGACATTTCCTTATCGGTAGACACTTTAAGTTGGTAACTGACCAACGCTCGGTTTCTTTTATGTTTAATATGAAACATTCAAGTAAGATAAATAATGAAAAGATTCAAAGATGGCGACTGGAACTTGCTGTTTTCAAATTTGATATTATATACAGACCGGGGAAAGAGAACTATACTGCTGATGCACTATCCCGAGTTTGTGCCACTGTAGAAACACGTACTGCAAAACTTTTCTCGCTGCATGAGGCTCTTTGTCATCCAGGGGTAACGAGAATGTTTCACTGGGTTCGCTCTAAAAACCTTCCCTATTCCATTGAAGAAGTCAGAACAATGACAAAATCTTGTCAAACCTGCTCTGAAGTAAAACCTAGATTCTTCCGAAATACTTTTGATGACCAGAGGAAACTTGTTAAAGTGACGGCTGCTTTTGAACGCCTTAGCTTAGATTTTAAAGGACCAGTTCCAACAAACAATAATAATAAATTCATACTTACCGTGATTGACGAATTTTCACGTTTCCCGTTTGCTTTCCCATGCTCAGATGTAAGCTCGAAAACAGTAATTAAACACCTCAACAACTTATTTATGATATTCGGCATGCCTTCTTACGTTCATTCAGATCGCGGAACAGCATTTCTCTCTGCCGAAGTACAGGATTTTTTACATGTTAGAGGTATTGCCACAAGTAGAACTACAGCTTGTAACCCTCAAGGTAACGGGCAAATAGAAAAATTGAATTCTACTCTTTGGAGAACGATTCTTTTGGCGCTGAAGACGAAGAATCTTTCGGTAGAAAATTGGGAGCAAGTATTACCACAAGCCTTACATTCGATTCGATCTTTACTTTGTACAGCCATAAATTGCACTCCACATGAAAGAATGTTTAGACACCCAAGACGATCTACTAACGGCACTTCTGTTCCATCGTGGCTTACAAATTCTGGACAAGTCTTGATGAAGAAATTTAATCGTACAAATAAATATCAGCCATTAGTAGAAGAGGTTGAATTGATACACAGCAATCCTGACTATTCATACATTCGGTTCTTAGATGGCCGAGAAACAACGGTGTCAAATCGTCATTTAGCACCATTGGGTTCAGAAGGGGTAGATCTGCGAATAAATAATGACTATCATAACGCCACAGAACCACGTACGGAAACAGAAGACCAAAACTTGGAAATTCCTTTATCTAATGAGATGGGACATGTGATACTTGATAATAGCAGAGAGCTAGAGACTGATCTACCATCATCACCAACGCCGGAGCCAACACTTCGTAGATCTGACATCGAGATACCATCATCATCACCGCCGGAGCCAACACTTCGTAGATCTGGCACCGAGTTACCATCATCATCACCGCCGGAGCCAACACTTCGTAGATCTGGCCGCGTCCGTAAAAACCAGAATTATTAAAAGATTATATTTTAAAATAGTGCGGGAGAATGATGTAAACCTCTTTGATGTAAACTTCTTACATGATACTATTATAAAATGATGACATTGTCAATCTGTTTAGATATTTGTCAATGTATCAAATGTAACCAAAATATTTTACTGTTAATTTAGCTTATTAAAACCTTATATTCTTCAAAGGTTTTGTCTTATTTCAAAACGTATACAATTGCCTTGGAAAGAATTATTCGCTTTTTGCAGCCTTTTTTTTTAAGGGATTTCTGGGGGAAATCAAATTAGTCTAGGGGTACGTCGCCGAGAGTCGAGAGTCGAGACTATTTGGCAACACTGTCACTGTGTCAAACTCAAACATGTCGTTATTGACTATTGTCGTGAATCGTGATGTCGTCGCTAACTCCTAAGTCTTAACTACGTAACAGTATCAAAGTCTAATTAATGACGATTAACGATAATGTTATCGTTTTTCTCTAAGCTTTCATTAAAGAACTCGCAGAAGCTGCCCGTGGAAGTCGCTAAACCCGCTTATATGGACAAAAGTGCATCGTTGCAGGAACTTGGCTACAAGGACAATAATGATTTGAGAGAAACTATTTATGGTTTGTTTTTTCGCCCTAAACTGTTTTTGTGTAGTTTTCTGTGATTTTTAATAAGTGTTGTGGTGTTTTAGACTTTTTGCGGACGATCCGGGATCCCGAAAAGCCCAGTACTTTGGAGGACCTTAAAGTTGTCTATGAGGAAGGGATCTTTATTAAGGAACCTACGGAAGACAATGTTCCCGTTTTAAGGGTTGAGTTCAATCCTACTGTACCTCATTGTTCTCTAGCGACCTTAATTGGACTGTGCATTAGAATAAAGATACAGAGATCTGTTCATCATCCTGTAAAGCTAGATATTTATATTAAAAAAGGTGCACATACTACAGAAGATGAAAGTAAGTTGGTTTTTATAAATCATTATGAATATGGAGTCAGCTCCAATAATCAATTATTTTTGTGTTGGATCCATACAGTATATAATACTCAAACTTTATAAAAATATAATTGATTTACATTTACATTGTCTTAGTATAAAAGTTTGATTTTCTTTAATCTACCTAAATGTTGAGATACTGATGTATAGATAACTATGTGACCTTCAGTCACAATAATATGGTACATTATGATCATCATTAAAGGTTATCAGCTGATAATATTTAGTGTTTATCAAACAATACTATTTAAAGCCTTAGATAGCATATACTTCTTGATTAGTATACTAGAATCTGTTTTTCATTTATTATCCTTTACTTAACGGCTATTAACTATATTAGACCTGAATTACTAATTGTATCCAAAGTATATGAAGATCAGATTGTAAACCCTTTTGGCTTTACCAGGCAAAGAACTAGTATACTTATGTTTGTAAACATCTTCTATAGTACTAGCTATCCTATATGGTTTTCTTAGCTTAATTTTGGCCATAGCATGATGTTATAATATAGCTTAATGGACTATCCAACTACTACTACTTTGCTACTACCTAATAATATATTGGTAGCTATATATATATTGGTGACAGAATTTCTAAAATTAGTTTAGCAGTTTTACAGTTAATCCATTTAAAACCAAAAATATACTATTTCTTCATTATAATATTAGTGTAAGTCCAACTAACCAACTTGGGGTTTAATTTGGTTTATACTGTATGCTTATTAATAACAAAATGATAATCATTATATTCATTATCTATCTCTAAGTACTTATGTAAGGTATATAAATAATAGTTATTAAAAGGTTGAGTTGTGAGTTCACATTACTATGCTATATAACAATTTTAATAGGTTTATTATGGTTTATAGGATTATTATGATTTACGCATAACAGTATTTCCTGCTTTATTACATTCTAAATAATTAAGAGATTTACAAAATCTTTCGATAGTTACACAATTTTTATACTAGACCTTAACATTTCCTGGGGCTCTTTAGTCACATATATCACCTTTATATGACAGTTTGTTATGTTATGTATATGGCAAAAGGACATTAAAAAGCTGTATAAAATGCACTTAAGCATAGTGCCTAGTAGGCTAGTAGGGTATGTAATGTAAGACACTTGACTACACCATTTAGGTATCAGGCATGAATAAACTGTATGTTTACTTGCAAGTATCATATGTATTAGTTTTTCTTAATTTACATCTTATAGGGAAATTTGCTTTTTTATCACATAATGTGATGTCTTGATATTTAAAAAATTTACTCATGTATCCTTTGAATCATGCTGCATACATATTTTTTATACCTTAACAATGATAAAAATACTCTTCAAAGATTCTACTTACACTTATAATCTTATCAAATATAATATTGCTTATCTAAGATAAAACTTACTCTTTACAGTCAACAAGCAGATCAATGACAAGGAGAGAATTGCTGCTGCAATGGAGAATCCTAATCTGCGGAACCTTGTAGAGAGTTGCATTGCCGATGAAGAATAATTATTCATTAGCATAGTTCAATTTAACAATATGGCACCCGACGCGGCATTTTCAAATATAGGAGATAAGAATGAATTTACTAAGTTTACCAAATTTCTTGCTTACAAAGGCGTGCAGGTCATTGTTGAATCAAGGAAAGGGGTTAAAATTGATGCAAATACAAAACAACAGTCAGCTGACACAGACTGGTTCAATCTCCAAATACCAGACTCACCCGAAGTTAATCAAGCTACTAAAAACGCTTTACCATCAGATAGAATACTAGAAACTATTAGATCTCACTTAAATGTAGAAATATCAGTACAAACTGAGGATGGAGATGAAATGGTGCTTGAATTATGGACCTTGGGACTAGACGAAACACAATTTGATTCATCTTTAAAAGCAATGAACACAGTTTACTTCAGAATGGGGATCCTATTAAAATCACTTATCACAATTACTAGAATCACTCCAGCATATCACTTATCACGGAAGCAGCGAACAGAGTCGTTTACAATTTTCTACAGAGTTTATAGCGGTGAGCCCAAGGTAAAGACATTAGGTGAGTCAGTTAAAAAAGTTCAAGCTGGAATGCTAAAAACACCTCTAGGAGGATTAGGTTTCACTGTTTCATATAGAACAAACTTCTCTATATCACCAAATAGGTCTGAAAAGAACAAAACACTTTTACTCAAGAGTGACCATTTTGAATTGAGTCCTAAGCATGTTATATTTGAAACAAAGAAAAAAAAGGAACCTTCATCTCCACAACCAATTGACCTAAACAAACCTCTTCGTCTAGCGGCATTTGTTGATGAATATCTCGTGGAAGAAGTAATAAAGGAGTTTTTCAAAAAGTTTCCTGTACCGAAATGCCGGACACCAAAATTTGAAATAATAGAGGATGAAACAACAATTTGTAAAAGCACCCAGGAGTTGGATATGAGTGTCATCTCAAAAAGCCCGACGTCGCTTGAAATGCCACCTAAAAAGTTTCCAGGATTTAGAAGTGAAAATGAACCACCATTGAAATTGTTATGCTTTCCCTTTGCAGACAACCATCCAATACGTGAGTTGGCTGAATTTTACAAAGATTTTTTTAATGCGCCACATTTAAAGTTATCCAATTATGATACAGCATTCAAAGAAAAAAAGCTTGAAATGACAACTGAAGATTTTTCTGAAGATCTACTAAAACATGAGAGTTCATTAATAGAATTTGATCAATTGGTAGATGATATGTGCCGGTCGGCAGAGTGGAGCGGGAATTAATGGTGAAAGACTGAATTATTGTGGGATTTTAAATAAAGTTTTATTGTTTATTTGAAATGTTTCTCTATTTTGTCTGATTGAACCTGATTCTATTTAATAAAAATATATATACCTACTTATTCCAATATTTAATATGATGTATAAAACATTTTTCTTATTGTTAATAATATAATAGCTCAACAATTAAAAAGATAGAAATATGATTGTGTGTGTATAAACAAATGTTTTGAGACTGAATGAAACTTTATATTAAGACTGGTCTTAAATATTGATAAACAAGATCTCTTGCCCATTTTTACAGTAACATACATCTTGAGTTTACTGTAACACAATAAAGATTATTAATATGTAGTTATAATTATTCCTTACTTTTTAACAGTTATGTATGTTAGATGTTTTAAGAATTGAAGTTAACTCTATATACATATATGTGTTATAGAATGTATATGTCACCGTAAAATTGTAAACACCGTTAGATTGTAATCTATCTCGCGAGATTGTGAACCTCGACGAACTGCTTACAATTTAACGTATTATTATTAGGTAGATTGTAATCTATCGAAGTGGAACCGTAAAATTGTGAAACAGATCGCACCTCGCGCGCTGATTGGTTGAACGGAATGTGCCCCGCACCACCATATCCCCGATCCCCGATATTGGTAACCCGAATCTGATGATACTGAATAATCAGTATCATCAGATCCGGGTTACCGATTTCTAAATCCAACTCATTTTCTGATCAAAAACAAATTAAAATTGAAAAATTAATGAAATTTTCTTTCATTTCATTTCCAACACTAACTTAGTTATCATTCAAACTTCTTTGGTCAATCACAGATTAATTTTACTTCCCAACAATTTCATATAACTAATTCTAAAGCTGTGAGTTACTACCAACACGACATTAATTTACATTCATCAAAACAATCATTTTACATTCGACAACAAACGAATTAACAAACAAATATGGTGGCGCAGGGCATATTCCGTTCAACCAATCAGCGCGCGAGGTGCGATCCGTTCACAATTTGACGGTTTCACTTCGATAGATTACAATCTACCGAATAATAATACGTTATATTGTAAGCAGTACGCTGAGGTTCACAATCTTTCGACAGTTTATAATCTCGCGAGATAGATTACAATCTAACGGTGTTTACAATTTTACGTTAAGATATATGCAGTTGTGTAAGAATATAGTATGAAAAATATTATCTAATATTTAAATGTTGGACAATTTTAGTATGTGGTTGTAGCAAAATTATTTTTCAATGCCAATTTGTTGGAAAGTGTAAAGTTTTGGTCTTATTATTTATACAATGACGTAGAAACTTTTTTATTATTCTGGTTTGTAATAATTGTCTATAGTAAATAATCATACCACTTTGTGTATTTTATCTCCATACATACTAGAATATCCAAATACATGAAATCTTTGTATGTATGTTGGTATATATTACCAATGCACTATGACGAATAGCCACTACGTAAACAATCTAAAACTACCTAATTCAACATTTTTCTACGATAATTGTTTTGTATTAGTGATTTATGGACTTGTAGATATAAGTTAAAATATACCTTACCTATGTTAAGAATTCAAATAAAGGTAACATATTATAGCATGTTTTAAGTTATCAATTTATTTAATTTTCAAAAAATGTTTTTAATAATAAAGAACAATATTCACTAAGCAATATTTTATTGAATAATCATCATGTATTACAAAGAAGAATAATAGGTCCTTAAATAAATAAAAGTAGTGTATGTAGAAACTAGAAAGTCGAAAACAAAATTTGTATGCATGCTCTATGGCGCGAAGGTAAGTTAAGGATTCGTTTAAATATGAATGAAACTTCGCTTCATATAATATTATATGACTACTAGTTATGTTTTTTTTGTTAAGGATCCCGTTTTGTTAGTTTATTTATCTTCACAATGGAGGAAATAAAAAAAATGGTTTTAGGATCTAAAGTTTAAAATATATATAAAAGGGCATTTAAAGTATAAACTTATTTTATTGTAGAAAAAAAGGTCATAGAAAATTCTCTTTATTATCTATCCTCGACGACAATAATAAATTGTAATGTAATGTCGCTGTCATTTGTTGGCTTGCGAGTTGCGAGTAGCGACTATATTTTAAGTAGTAAGAACGGTTAAATGTCAAAAACAAACAACTCAAAACATTGAGAGAAGTTTCTGTTTGTTGATTATTTTTCAAACAAATTTTAATTGAAATAAAAACGAATACAATGCGTAGACATAAGTGGTAATCAAAGGTGAATAATAAGATAAAAGTGGTCCCTTAATTTTAAACTTTTGTTCTAACCTATTTTAATAACTGTAAAATATGTATTCGATTTGCCGGCAAACACACCCGGCTACGGGGGTGGAATATGCTGTAAGCTGTTGTTTTTTTGAGAATGATGAGATGTGCTTGGTGACTGCTGGTGCCAATATTTTAAAAGTGTTCAGACTTGTGCCTGAAGGGAGCACTAAAGAAGTCAATGCAGGTTAGTAGGTTAGGACTGAAACTTACCGTTTTATAACTCTGATTTTGGTCAAATGTAACGGTAATCACTGCATTGTAACATAAATTCTCTTTGTCTTTTCTAAACAATCTCTAAGCCTAGGTACTTTTGTACACCTCCACATCAAATTCTAAGCATTTAATACTTTCCATAGCTATAATAAATATACGGAATGTTGCATTATTTAAATGTATTTATATGATTTTCTTGCTACAAGTACAAGATGTAAGGGTTAAAATTGTGTTTGATTTCATAGCAACTGTCTAAACAGTTGTTTTTGTCTTAGTATGCTTAAATACATAGTAATCTTAATTGATACTTCTAGCTGGTCAACCAATACCACCCAAAATGAAGTTGGAGTGCTTAGCTTCATACACATTATGGGGAAATGTTATGTCTATTTCATCTGTAAAATGCCCTAGTGCAGGCCGTGATCTATTACTTGTGTCATTCAGAGAAGCAAAGCTTTCTGTCCTACAGTATGACCCACAGACAAATAATCTAGTAACTTTGAGTATGCATTACTTTGAAGAGGATGATATGAAGGTAAATATTAGAGGATGAAACATGATTTATTGAGATCCACACATTAGCTATGCTTCCTTTTTTATCTAAAATTTTATTAAGATGATAAAACTTAATAATATGATGTTCGCATTTTTTAATAAAATTATAAATGTAATTCCTTATTATTCACTTATAGAATGGCTGGACTACACACCCTCATATTCCTTGGATAAGAGTGGATCCAGAATTTCGATGTGCAGTCATGTTATTATATGGAAAAAAGTTGGCTGTGTTGCCATTTAGAAAAGATCTTACGTCTGAAGAAGGAGATCCATTAGAGGCCAAACCTTTAGAGGATGACAAGAAAAATGTATGTGTTGTTATACAAAAAGCTTATTTTTTTATTAGTGTTCATATAATAATTAATTTTTTACATGGAAACCATATAACACCAAACTTATAATAACATAGAAATCCCCTTATTACAGCAAACTCAGCCAATGATGCGAGCCCCAACTCTAGCCTCTTATGTAATAGTATTAAAAGACTTAGACGAGAAGATAGACAATATACTAGACTTGCAGTTCTTATACGGATACTATGAGCCTACATTGTTACTTCTGTATGAACCTGTAAGAACATTCCCAGGGTAAGAATCTATACTAATATTATTTATTTATCTTAAAAAGTTGACCAATGGGCATTACAATAAAAGCTTACATCTAGGAACACAAAAATAATAATAAAAACTGATTGTATCTTTTATAAGCAAACACATGCATGCTTTTTACTTAATGACTATTGCTAATATAATTCTTACAAACTATAAAAATATGTGATCTAAAAAGCAAGAGATATAAATGATAAGTTATGGTAAGGTTTTGAATACCATCACTTTTTGACGATACTAATTATTTAGAGTCTCGAGGACTTCATTAACACCTCAAGTGAGTTTTGCTCCGGAAACCGTCAAAAAAAGCGTTTTTTTTTTTTTCACCTGGGGAAACCCGATTACGGGCCCCCCGCCTGGGCAAGTGTGATTGGCGCGGGGAGTGTGGAGATCAAGGTCGTAAAATGCGATGGTCCCCATACCCACTAAACCAGGCCCAATACATAGCCATAGCACGTGTAGAGCAGTAAACAAAAGCAAAATAAGCAATATAGCAAAATAAAAAACGGTCATCAGTGTTTAATTTATAGACATATTTACACTTTAATTAGCTCCAAAAATGGGTCTTTTTTATGTTTTGTATTGTTTCGCCGCACAAATATTCATAGACATGATCTGAAAAATTTTCAGAGTTATTATAATTATCCTTTTTAAAAAATCTTTTTACTGCCTCCACTTATCAATCCTTCGTATGGGTTCCATCTTCACCACAAAGGTTTTCAGGGTCTGAATGATTCACTTTTTATGTATGTACCCATGGTCTGCCAGACAATCGTATGCTTTCCAGAAGTCAGTATGAATGATAGTACCAACTTCAAATGTTTTTTGAATGAGAGGAAGTAATATATCAGCTGATCAATATTATTTGGGCACACTTCCAATCTTAGGTCTTCAGATTTGTCTTCGATCATACCAAGACCCAATAGCCCTCAATTGTCGTCCTACAACAATTAAAGAATTAGTTAATAAGCTTAATGAGTTAAATAAATTTTGTAGATGTGATAATAATAGGGTTATTGGACACTCTGTTTTTAAATTACACTCTAGGAGTAAAACAATAATAACACATATAGTAAATATTAATTAATAGTGCTATAAAATAATTACCTCATTATATTTTCTTTTCCCAAATTTAGATTCATCAATTACTATCTTCCCTCCACCAATCTTTCCTACCCTTAGTTTTATCCATTTGATATATAACTATAGTTTCCCTACAATAACTATACCAATCACATATAGTAACTCGGCTTAAGGATTTAAGTCTATCATCTTTATATGGATCTTCACGC